AAGACCATCGGAAAACACATATATAATTACATATTGTTTTTGTGATTAATCACTATGCTTTAATTATGTTCAATTTGTAACGATGAAATTGGGGGTCACCACAACATGAGGAACTGTATTAAAGGGTCGCAGCATTAGGAAGGTTGAGAACCACTGATCTAGAGGGTCAGACTGAGACCCTGGGCTTTGTTCAAGCCTCTACCTACCATTTTGATAAGATTTGAGAGAAATAAGAATCTGTGGAAATAAGAATTCTATATTTTCCTCCATTTGGATTTTCAGAAATGAGTCTAGTTTCAGAAGTTTGCAAAGGGCCATCAGACAATAATAACAATTCAATAAAGGTAGAAAACCTTAACCCTTTAGGTTCCATGACAGTCTGCATAATTCTGGTTAGAAGCTTTCACTAGAGCTCATACCTACAATGCCAGAACATAACAGATGTGATGTAATCACTACTGCTTCATTAGTTTTAAATGTATAAAATGCTCTACGTTCTGTCCATGAACTTAAAACAGCTTGATGAGATAAACACAATGGGTATTTTCTCTGTATTTTAGGCAGAAATACTGAGGTTTATAAGGCTGTTAGACTTACAGTAAAATTATTGTGATCAGGAGTCAGAAGATCTGGGTTTGCTTCTTGGCTCTACTCAATAACTTTGCATAATCACTTTGTAAACTTTAAGGTACTACACACATGCTTATAGTTGTTGTTACTGTTGTTAACTGTTGTTGTGGAAAGCCCTCTGTTAGTTGTAAAAGCCTATGTTAATGGATTATTAACACTCAATGGCTCTGACCAGTAATCTTTTTACTACACTAAGCTGTCAAGCTCACAGAAAAAGAGCACCTGTTGATTATAAAGCACTGTGAGTTGATGACTGCTAAAAGGATGTTGCATATCACTACCTGCAAGACTATCCATAGGCCCTAGCACACTTAGAATGTGCCATATGTCTAAGAATGTCCAGCCAGCTCCAATCAGGTTGCAGGCTTTCAGGGACCTAATGTACAGAAGGAAAAGTACAAAGAACACAGATCCTACCTCCTAGCAAATAGTTCATAGCTGAGCACCTCATGGCCCATGTACTTCCATAGCTGCTCAGATGTTTAGTTGTTCCCTAAAGCATTTTCTTTTTCAATCAGTTACTTAGCTTATTTACTTAGAGAAGAGGATGACTGAAGCCCTGCCAAGCAGATATATTAAATTAGGTGGTCTAGTTCTCCCAGGCCTCAGCCCCCAAACAATTCTGTCAATGAACCCACAGCTCCTCTGGCTTTCCTTGTTGTACCAAGCTTGAACCCCATAAATCTGTGCCAATCTCAGCTCTGCCTTGTAGCCAGCACTGCCATTTTCACACTAAAGTGTTGTTTGCCTCTGCCAGTGCTCTCTCTCTCATGAAAAAGCCTTTCCTGCTGGCCAAAATACTTAACTACTTTCACTGGGCCTCTGTAATTTGAATCTTTAGTCCAATTTTGACATCTCTTAGCCATTTAAATTAGGTTTTGATCTTTCATTCCTTTCTTCTCCTAAGCATGGACCTTCTGGCAAAAGATCTGATAATGGAGAAAACTGTTTAGTTCCACCCCAGGCCCAAGTGAACAAAAACAAAAATAATAAAAAATGTGAATTCACTCTGTAAATTGTAAAATCCTATGTTAATAGATCATTAATGTCTCCAGACTCTTAGGTAGGGTCTTTTCATTACACTAAGCTGTAAACACCTCTCTCCCCTAAAAGTTCCCTCCACCTCCATTTCACTTCATCCTTCCTAGAAATGCATTCACTGAGACTTCCTCCCTCTTTCTGCTTTCAGGATTTTGCTGAAGAATATTTCTCCTGGACAGAAGTTAAACATCTACTAGACTTCCCAGGAGAGACCATTCTACAGCCTTGACTTTATTAAGGGAAAAAACTAACATTGCCTTTTTACCCAATATTAGCATAACACTTTGCGCTTCAATTAACATAACACCATGTTTGTTCCATAGCTTCTCAAGCTTATGACCAGTATGAAGAAATGAATGTGTCAATGAATCACTAAATATCTCCAAGCATGTACTGAATTTTTGCCCAACAAATCAGTAGTCCCTTATCTATATATATATAAAAAGCCAGCGACTGTAATGGCCATAATGACCAATCACTATGACGCCCACTGTGGCCAGCGAAATGGGCCAAATCAGGGGGTGGGGCCAGTTGGCCAACCTCGAGGCCCCTCCCCCCTGCCTGCCCGCCCCTGATTGAACTCTCCCACCCTGATCAAGAGCGGGCCTATGGCCAAATGCTCCCTCTCTTCCCCTGGGCCAGCCCCATCCCGATTCAGCCCACCCCACACAATAGGCCCATAGCCCTCTCTCCCTGGCGGCCGGCCCTGATTGCACCCCCCATCCCAATAGGG